CCTACAATAAGACACTAGCTCTGCTCACAGCCTCGACGGCTTACATTTCAGCCTGCAAGGCTCTCCATATCTGTATCTTGTGCCAGACATGTAAAATCTGGTAACGATAAAAGCTAATAGAGCACATTCATTATTGCAATAACTGCTTTCACTTTCCCACTCTCTTTGTATTTTGACTTTGCCTGATTAGCCAGCGGTGACAGCTCAGGAAATGGATTCCACCAAATCTCACAACAACTGATCTAAAATGCTCTAATCTCTGGAAAGATAAGGAGTTGCTACAGCAAAGCCAACATAAACCTGTGAGCTATGGAAGATGGGGTTGTTGTTTAGCCGCTGTTGCTAGTTAGCTACTGTACTGGATTTCAGAGACCACCCTGTATTTAAACCTTCTCACTTAACTCGACACATATCTTTTCAACACCATCTGAAGCTCATGTCCTGGACAGCCTCAGCCGCACGGAGTCGGGTGACATTGCTTGGGTAGCTCTGGAGAGGGCACTGAAGCAGGGTGGCTCGCGCCGCTCATCCCACAGGGTCTATCTCGTCCTAAAAGTCACTGCAGACGCGACAAGCAGCAGCTCCTCTGAAATGTATTGGAATAATGGCACTGCAACTGCTCGTTTAAAATAAAATATAGTATGCTGCCTTCATTGGCCATATCTTGGGCCATCACAGAAAATATAATCCTTGGAGCTAGAGAGAGAAAAAAAACCTTCTCTTCAGGAAGCATTGCTCTGTGTCACGGAAATCCATTCCTCTCATATCATTTCCTTTATTGCAGCCATGTTGATTACTTTTATTCTCCATATTTCCTTTGTTTACTTAAAAAAAATGCAATCAAAGGTCCCGCTAAGCCCTTGAAATGCTGAACAGGAGGTTGATCAATTTGCGTTGTGAACAGAATCGCATTGGGCATGTATCCAACAGCTTAAAACAAACAGGCAAACTTCCCATTTCCAATGTGAGCTCGTCTGGCTCGAGCTGGATGTGATTTATCACCCGCTGGATATATTAGAGTGTACACATTAGCAGCACTCTTCTATATTTTCTGGCATTGTCCGCTCGAAAAAGTAATTCACTTTACTGGAATAACGCAGCTATATCCTGATGAATTTTGCCAGCAGTGCTGTGTGGTGACATGGGCTTGGAGGCGGAAACTTTCACAGCTAATCGCTAGATTAAATTCTGCTTTCCTTGACATTTGAAGTGACTCCTTGAAAGGCAGTAGAATAAGCTCTTACTTAATAGGGTGCCTGTGAGAGCAAACGCACTCTGTTGCTGCAGGGGGTGTTAACAAGGCTCAGCATGGAAAGCTGGACCCCCTCCCACTATGCATCTTCTTGACAGGGGTATCAAAAGGTGGACTTTTCCATCCACTTTTATCTGAGAGAAGCAGCAGTAATTCTAGCGGCTGCTCCTCTTGCTTTTTGATAGCCTTGCGTCTCCAGAGCAAGCTGCTCGGCCGTGCGAAGGATGCTTGGCCGCTGGGCGGCCACGCTACGTGCCTCGAGCCTCGCTCCCTTGGGAACATCTTGCAGGGAGATGGATCTTGCCTGAGCGGAAGTAGAGGGAGAGTGATACAGGGATGAAGGAGAGGGAGAGGGGGCCGAAGGGATGACAGAGACTGGTACAAGGTGCCTAAGAGACAGATTTGCTTCCAGAACATGCCTGGGATTTTGAGTTCATTTGAAAACCTAACCCCGGATTGGGATGTGCACATGGGCTGTTAACTCAGAAATACCTGGCTGCTTTTGAAATTATGGACTTTCTGGTTTATAGACTGAGAGGTTTGAGGGTTTCTTTTTTCATGGATGTCTCTATTCCAATGAGTTTGCAACCTACTCTTGCGTGGGCTGAAGAACAGCTGCAGATGGTTTTATTTTCAGTAGGATTTTACACCTATTAGCGGCGTATCTGCGGAGCACAGTGCAGGGCTGTGGGGAGCTCAGAACGAAACAGGCCAGGTATAAGCAAGTACAGTGGTGGTAGGCCATAAATTCAGAGCCTCTTTGGGTTACAGCTTTGCCAGCTAAAGGTATGACCATATCTGGCTGTTTTTCCCTGTCAAGTTAAACTGGCTTGCTAGCAGGTTTTTGTGAACCTGCCTCATTTTGGCTGAAAACTTGGGATGGGTATATCTAGGGTGGCAGTCATCTGTCCTCATGTAGGCGTCTGAATGCTAGAAATTGAAGCACGTGTGTGTGGTCCCTTGACTTGCAGGTAAGAGAAAGGGGTATCGCCCCACGCCACCTCTCCTCGCTTAGCCTTGGATGTGTCCCCTCTCAATACCCAGGGGAATCACACCCTGTTACCCTGTGCAGGTTAATAAAAGAAAAAAAACAACATTATTTCTCCCTTAGACTTAGAGGCAGGGGTTTAGGCCAAGACAAGGGCCAAGTGTTATTGGTGGTTTCTGCTTTCTGCAGCCAGCACGTAGGGTGCCGTTGTTTCAGATGTAGGCACTTCCCTGATCTCCCTTTGCTCCCGACATCGCTTGTGCTAGAAATACACGGCTCTGGCCAAAATGCCTGGGTCCAGCGCTAGGACTCAACAGTAATATGCTTCACATAATAAACAACTTCTTCCAAGGGGTTTTGATAAGAATGTCCATTTTTAGTTGAGGGCAAACGAACCATTCAGCCTTTATTTGTTGCTGTTGCAATTGAAGAAGGAGCAGAAGCTAATTTTTTAACTTTTCCTGTAAATAGTGCATTAATGAAGACAGATGGGTCAGCAATGTAAACAAAACCTCTATCTCAAGCTAGTTTTGTTCTGGCTTTGTTTCTCAATATAGTAAGCAAACCACCACCACCACAGTTCCCATCCTATTAACAGTGTTTGCTCTCCAAATGTTGAACAGGGTTATAAGGAAGTTTAAATTAACACTGGGCTGTAGTTTTTCAAATGCTTGAAGCAGCTGTTCAAGTGCCAGGAAATCTCTTTTTTTTCATAAATGATGGATTTAGCTAGGGTTTGGCTCCGTGTTTTGCGCAGAAGATACTTAATAGAGCCTCTTTCATTGTGCTGTAGGTGAGCTAGGCACCAAAATGCCTGATGCTGCTCAAAATTGTAGGACCTTTTGATATTTCTAGACTGCTGGAGTTTTCAGTTGGCTTCGCTCTCTGAACCATGTAGGAAGGGCAGTGCCAGGACGGCACGGGGCTCTGCCTGTCCTGCCCAGGCTCAGCTAACTGTCCCAAGCGGCCCGTCTGCCCAGAGCGAGGGGGCTGGCAGGGCTGGGGCAGCGGTGCCAGAAAAAGTCATTGCTGAGCTGTTGAGCTTTAATGCTCAAGCAGCCAGGAATCTGCATTCTCAATCAGCTAGGGGAAGCACAGCAGGTGGAGTGAGCCTGGGCTCCAGGGACTGCGCCCAAGAAAGGGATAGTGCAAGGAAGCTTTGGGGAAAAATCTGCTCCTTGAGCAAGTTTTAGTCCACGTGTGGATAACTAAGAGATATGGATCATTTAAGGCAACATCAGGCTTCCCAGTGCTTAGGGGAATCTGGCGTGGGTGCTGAGTGTTTGCATAGGAGACAGAGCTGACTTCTTCACAGGCCAAGGGACGAGTAAGATGTCTTGAAGCTCGTGCTCTTCTGTAGACATTGTGTGTTGACTTAAGAGCAGCAATCCAAGATCAAAACTCTATCCTTAACTCCCTCGCTGATATGTTATCCATGCTCTTCCTCTCTTTAATTCATTTTTTCGGCTCCTACCCTTTGTCTGTCCTGTCTATTTGGGCCATAAGCACTTCCCGGCATTTTTTACAGCATCCAGCACAAAAAAAGCTTCACATCTGCTTACGGTTGCCCGTATGTATTAAATTATAAACTGATGAAAGTGAAAATCCAACTGATGTTGATGATTTCTGTGAGAAAGGGTTGCTGCTTCCTTTAGTTGCATGCAATAATGTAGGGAAGGATGACTGTCTGGCTGGCTGGATAGATATTTCCATACTGAAGTCATATTTTTACAAAACCTTTTAAAATTTGATTTTTGTTATTAAAATTTAAGTCAGGACTCTGCTAGCAGGTTGACATAAAATAGATCAGAAATGAAAAGAAAATCAAGGCACACTACTATTTAATGAGAAAAATAAATTGTTTAAGAAACAGAGGAAGCCAAAGTACTAATATAGATGCATGGATGGATGAGTGGGTAGATGGAAGGAAGGAGGAAAGCAAGAAAGAAAGAAAGAAGGAAAAAGAAAATATGCACTGGGATATTTTTGAGGGACTTTCTGCTGACATTACTGACACTTGTGGATTTGCAGTACTGGCTCTTGTCATGCACTTACCATACTATTTGTGAGTGTCATAGCTATATGGAGAGGACCACATACATGTTTAAAAGCAAGTACATTTGAGTTTGCAGTAACAGCCTTAATTTGTTATTTAAGGAAATAGTGTGATAAAATAACTGTCCCCATTTTCCTGTGTTATTTTGCCTGATTTCTGCTGTCTGGCTGCAGGAACACCCAGCAGATGTCTTTGTCTAGTTATTTTCAATGGTAAGGTAAGGTTTTGCCAATAAAGCAGGCAATTCTGAGAGGCAATCATTGATAAAATGAAATAATACTCTGAATAGCTCTGATCTCAGATGATGAACAACATAGTTGCAGCTGTGGGAGTCACAAGATGCTCAAATTTCTCCCAAAATAGCACACAGGATACATCTTCCGTTTTACTGGTTTTCATCACAAATTCTGTCTGAGATTCTCTTCAATTAGCAGCACAGTCCATGTTTCAATATAAAGACAAGTTACTAATATCAAAAAGACTGGCTGGCCCCTAATCTCAAATTGGTTTCATTGCAATTTTTACTGATCTTGTAAAAATTCTTAGATGCGGTTTTACTCACTGATAAAATGACATCTCTACACACATTGGCATAGTTCCATAATATAGCGTATAAAGGACCGTGGTGCAAAAACACACCGGTCAGATCACTGTGACGAGAACAGTCGCAGAAAAGAGATGATAAAAGCAAATGGTAGATTATCTCCCTAATGCTGGATTATCACTCCTAACAAGGTGAATGGTTTGTCTTGGCAAATAGCTTCATAAGAAGAGTGGATAGTTTGAAAGGATCTATGTGGTGACACTTCAACCGTTGGCTACAGCAGTTCATGTCAGCAGAGCAAAATATCACACCTCTTATGAATTCTTTTAACCTGCCATTAATCACAGACTACGATTTCAGTGTAGCTCAGGGGAAAGGTCTGTGAGCAGTGTCAGCCACTCGCGGGCAAGATCCTTAGCAGGCATAAAGCAATATAGTCCCGTGGTGCAGCCCGCTATCTGGAAACACACAGCCCGAGTGGAGACTGCATAACTCTACAATAAACTACACAACCTGACCACTTAAAGAAATAATAACCCCGCAAGAGTAGTTAAATATTGGACAAGACCGTATGTGTTCTAGAATGCTATTTAAATCACTACGGTGAACAGGCTGTAAGCAAGAGAGATAACTGTGATATATATGGTATTTGCAAACATCTAGCATGGAAAAAGAAATCAACAACCCAATCTCTGTGCAGCACAATTCGACAGAGAGATTCCGTGTAAAATAGGATTGGTGCAAGGTTTTATCCAAGTGGGATTACATACAAGCACAAAAATAAAACATTCTGTATTCTACATTATATTACAAAGGCAGGCAGTCAATAAATAGATCAATAAATTATGGGAAGCACAGAAGAATATGTGTGAAAAATAGGTGAAACTGGTTTTAGTTAGTGCTTGATAAAGTCTTTTGTGTTCATTCCCCTGAAGTGCTAGAGGGATTCTTTCAAAGACCCTTAGCACTTGCAGTGAAGATAACTTTCCCTTAAAAGTGTAAAACAGATGCAGGGACAGTACAGTAGGCTCTGCTACAGGCTAAAAGAGTCAACATCACTTACACTTTCCCAAGAATCTGACAAATTTGCAGCTTAGTATAAATAAAGTGACGGGTCTATTGTTTCTCAGCTCTGACACCTTCTTATCACCATGGTTTGTTGCAGAAGAGTGGCGGAAACATGGCATGTGACTCCATCATATATAGTTTGGGGGGGCAATATCTTTATGAATTGACAACTTGAGCACATGCATAAAGGAAAGATCCTTTCTATCTAGCTGGCATGAAGGGGTTTCCTTTTCTATCTAGCTCTGTGCAGACTACATGCAATATTACTTTGCAGTTTGAGCTGGATTACACAGATGTATTGTATGTAACTTACTGGACTGGCTGGGGGAACAAGTTTCTTAGCTGGTACAAACCGGCACAGTTTCAAGGACTGAAGAGAGTTAATGCACCGATGTATACCACCTAAAGCTCTGGGCCGTGAGAAACGCCACATGGCTAACGTGACAAAGCCAGCGCTGTTTTACGTAGGGTGCTTTTGCGATAAACGTGCCCAAAGAGCTTTTCTTGCCACTGCCTGTCAGAGCACTGCACAAGCCTGGCATCGCTCCTGGGCCCATTGCTTTACTAAGAAAGACAGGAAGGGAAATAGATCTCTTCTATCCTCTGGATGCCAAACCATCCCTGACAAGATGCCTTTTACCTTTAACCAAGTTTGGGAAAGACTAAAGAAAGGACAAAATAAAAAAAAAAAAACTAACAATGTGTTATACCTCTGTGATTTAGGAGCCTGAGACTTATCAGGACTTAAGATCTACAGAGATCATTTTTCAAAGGCATCTGGGCATGTAAAGATTTGGAGAGATGTTACACAACAGCTAAACAATCTAGGTATGCATCACCCATAACTCACCTAGCTTTGATAGCTCTGGAAATAGATGCCAATCAACATTTAAAAAGTACAAAAATATGTGGCTTTATTTCTATGAATTTGAATCTGCCCCTTTTTGGCATGAAGAGCCCCCCAAAACAATCCAGTGATCTGGCCTGTGCCCTGATATGAGGAGAGACTCAGTCATAATTTGGACAGGAAAGAATAGCAAGAAGCAAGCAATGGAACAAAATATACATTCCCTACAGTCATATGACTTGCCCATTCCCCGTGACAGGAAACATACAATTATCTGTACATGCCTCATTAAATAACCTTATTAAATAGGAAATCCAAAATGTACAAATTTACAAACTGAATCGTTAAATACTTTCCCTGTGCACTCCCCCGTGCATGCGTTCCCTCCTACTATCTGCAGCCACACTCTGATACCACCATGCCCTCATATTTGAACTTGTAGGTGACAACCCCTGCATCTAAGTAGAGAATAGAGATGGGATCGAGCTTGGTGGGCACGCAGCAGGCCTTAGAGGCTTTCTGGGGATTCTTCAGGTGAACCAAAGTCTGGACAATGGCATGTTTCGTTGGTGTGACATGCTCCGTTAAGGGGTAGGCGCACACTCCGTGGCACTCGTAGGCTTCGTATCCCGCTGGGGCGATGATCCAGGAATCCCAGCCAATCTCCTTGAAATCTATGTAGAGCGGAGTCTTTTTGCAGTAGTTGCCTTTTGCGTTCCTCCGGATCCGGGCAGTAGAGTCGTAAATGATGTTGGAGCGCATCTGGAGCAGTGCCTCCTCGCCAGGCCGGTTGTGGAAGTTGCCGACCTCCAGGTTCTCCAAGTCCAGGAGCTGCTCGTGGTCTATCATTTCATTCAGTTCTTGCTTCTCCTCTTTCTTGTCATTGCTTTGGTCATCGGAGAACACAATCAACAAGGGCACATGCTTGGCCTCAGAGTTGATGTCGATATCGAGTTTCCCCTCTCCGTTCTGCTCCTCCCCTTCCTTGCTCTCTATATGAACTTCCAGCCGGTGTGTGGTTAGGCCAGCCCTTCGCCAGCGCCTGATGGCTTCGGTGACCTCGAAGGTCTCCCACTCGCTGTTTTTGCCATAGATCTGCCTAGATGCCAGCGCCACTGTCTTTCTCCCTTCTCCTACACCCATGTGGTCATTTTCCAGCACTTCAAAAATGGTGACCTTCCGGTCAAGCCCATCATAGAGCATTCGGTCCTGCTCCACCAAAGTGTAGAGCCTCAGCTCCGCCATGGTGATTTCTTCATGGTGAGGGATGGATACATTGAATAGAAGGGGGTATTTCCGAATTCCTACAACACCAATCGGGTGGGAAGCCAAGTCTGGAAATGATAAAGATCAAATATTTTAGAAAGGTCAATACATCCAGCACACGTTTTGCATTCCTTTGGTTTCAGCGGAACAATTCCAGAAGAGTGGTCTTGCATTGTTTCCCAAAACCATACTTGGATGATCAATAAAAGGCTATTTTATTCTAGATGTCTAAGGCTGGTGAGATCCCAGCCATGATCAAGTCAGTAAACCTGGATTTCTAGATTCACTTTTGATCACCGTGGCTTTCAGGGACTTCCTTGACACCTAGTAGGATTACATGTTAAAAATGCTTTGCCAAATACTGAAATGAAATCACTTCTAGATTACTGCACAGCAACTGTTCAACAAATAGAAGAAAACATTAGTCAGTATAGGAGAGGAAGAGAAGACCAATATGGCACTGCAGTGAACCTGAGAGACAGTCAGGTGATATATAAACTGTGTACGCTGGAACGGCAAGCTGTATTTTTGTCTGCTTATCATTTCTGTGCTAGCAAGTGTTTCTTTCTGCTCAAACATCATCAGCAACTGAAAGGGCTAGGCACTAAGAGAGGAAAAAGATGCTTTGCAAGATGTAAAGGCTCCTTGTTAGGAGGAGCAGGCAGTGATCACCCGATCTAAAACCCGCCAATCAACAGAAATCCTGCCACAGACTCAATGGGTTTGAAGTGAACTAAGCCAAATAGCTGTATTCAGTCAGGCACTTTTGGCAGCTTCAGTTAACAAAACATATAAGAAGAACATAGTATCTGCTTGTCAGTCAGTCAGTCAGTCTGTCCTATCTGCGTTGTTTGTTTACACATGGGAAACATGCAAAATTTCTTCACACAATACAGGCATCTTTGCTAATAATGACTGTGCTTTTGTTGCTGGATTACTGTGCTGTCACTCACAGCTCAGTAGACAGACTAGGACATACGGGTCATATGGGTGACATTTCTGCAAGGCCTGAGGGGGCAAATGGCTTGGGATCTATTACTATCTTCATCTTTGACTTTTCCAATTTTGATATGCTCGAAGAAAAATGACACGGATAATGCTGCAAGTATTGGCTGTGCTCCATTCGTGCACTTAAGCAAGCACAGGAGTTGTCCTACTGACATGAAGTGGGCTTTGAGGCACCTGCCTGGGTTTTTTTCTTGTTTGCCTCACCATCCATTCATAAACAAAAAAACAAAGAGCAATTCTGGTTGCTTCTCTCTTCCCATCAACTGATGAAGGTGGGAGTTGAATATGCTCCAGGGTGGGATGGACTGCAGGCTAAAAGGCAGTGCTACTCAAGCACAGGAGTGCTTCAGCCATAACCTCGCAACGGGAAGAAACCTTTGCTATTTCCTAACTCTCAGCATGCTAAAGCAAGTCTGCAGTCATTACAGACGATAGTAGGGTGGAGAAATGCCACCGGACCATCTAGAAGATGAGCTCAAGTAATTCACCAGGAAGGAGGGGAAGGCCACACCATCTGTAAGAGGCTGGGTGAGTGCTAGCAGGGAGCGAGAAGTGTTCATTTATAAGTCAGGATGTGGCTTTGCTCTTTAGCTAGGAAACCCATAGGGTGAAATCTCTCTTACAGTTATTGGTGCACCCCTGACAGGGTCAGGAAGGGTGATCTGGAGTCTATAGGAAAAAAAAAAATTACCTTAAGACCTTTATTCAAGTTTTAAGAAATGGTAGGCGATTATAGTCCCATTTGCAATAGAGATATTATGCTCCATGGGTTAAAACGACTAGCCGCTTTCAGCTGTGCAGCATGTTATATTTCTATAATCTCATTACAGTTAAAACAAAGTTAATAAAGAATTTAATGGATAATAATGAAATAAAGTTACTGCCAATTTTCAATAAGCAGCTGAACTGAAAACTTCATGATATGTTCTGTTCCTACTGTCTTGATAATTGAAAGTAATTCACTTTCTCTACAAAAAAAACTCCTCAGGCATGAAATGAATGGTTCTTAGCTTCATGGACTTTCAAGACAGATAAAAAACAGTAAGTGCAACAGTCCCTGTAACTGTATGCATTTATGAAGGCGATGTGTTAACAAGTCTCACCTTGCATCTGCTGTTTTGGATTAGAAACGAGAGGAACACAGAAACGACAGAAAGTTACACTAAGCTTACCCTATCTGGTGCAGACTTCTGCAGCAATGAAAAAGCCATGGAACATCTCCGTAATGTTTACAGAAAGGCACAGAATCGTGAATTGCTGCATGCGTTACTGGCCATAGGTCAGTCTGTACCATTTTCAGTACTGTAAACCTGGAACCATTTCAGTCTTGCCAGTGAAATGGCTGCAGATTTACCTCAGTAAACCACACCGCATTTTGTTCTTTAGCATATTGTACTTGCCAAACTTTATCTGATTTATTTCTCCGGAATAGTGGAAATATGAGAAAAGAACAGTATTTGTTTCTGCATATTTCTTCATTTATGCTGATGATCAGTTACAGACAAGGCTGTTCAGATGAGTAACAGTTCACCAGCAGGTGTAACTGGTTTGCTGTCAATCCTTCAATAAATGTAATGTCATATTACTACACCGCAGAGAAAGAATATGTAAAGAAGATTTAAACTGCAAGGCAGGGCCTCTTCAAACCAGAAACGTGTTGCTGGTAAAGGGTGCCCAGGCCTGGCAGAAGTGCAGAACAGTTCAGCACTGCTGGATCCTGTCTTGGCACCTTACTGCATTGCCAAAGCAAAATGACTGGTACGCAGCCTTCTCCTGATAGTTTGTCATCTTGAATTTGTGAATGTCAGAAAAAAGTAATAATCAGCATTATAATTCATTAATTACACTGATGAGGGATGAGAGAAGATCCACAGCAGTTTGAATAGTTGCACGTACCTCCGAGTAGTTAAAAAGAATCAAAGCACTTGTATTTGCAAAGTGGAATATTTCAGGTTTGGAAATGATTACTTGAAAAATACTTTTAACATATTACCTGTATTGGTGCAAATAGGTACTGACACAAAAACATTTGAATGTCAGCACTGAAATGTTATATTTTCCTCATTAAACTGAGGGAAAATGTTGAAGCAGAAACATAGAGAGAACCACCTAAGCTCACAACTGGTCTTTTTTCAGTTCTTCTTCTTCTTCTTCTTTTTTTTTTTTTAATAGGAAATATTCTAGTCTGCCAAAGTAAAACCTAAAGTTTATCCAAATTCAGCTTCATGTATTTCTATGTATTTGCTGGGCTATGCTCAGACATCAAAGGAAGAAAACTTTACAAACCCCATGAGGATCAATAGCGGAAGGATAGCCATATGGAAAGCCATATACTGCACCTTTGAACGGCATGTGAAAATATTTCTCCTCTTAATTTCAAATTTGACTTAAGGTATCCATCTAAAAATCAACCAGCTTCTTGCAAATGATATGTGTGATTACAAGGATAATGAAAACACACCCAAATTACGCGTAGTGCTGTACAGATATAAAAGAAACATCTTCTTCCCTCAAAACCTTACAATCTCAAAAGCAACGGAAAAAGGATCTATCTCACAAAAAGTGGGATCTGCATAAAATTTGTACATGTGGTGTTAGTTGCCTATTTCCAATGGCTTCTTCACTGAAAGGCCTTTTTCCCCCTAGTGCTGTTCATGCTCCATACCTGGTAAATATTATTTCACGCTGACTGTAAGAGTACCCTTTCCGATTTAGTTCTCCTAGAGAAGCACATTTCTTACCTTCATTTTTGAAGCTCCTAATAATATTTGCAGATGGCATAGACGTCCTATCGGTGGCAAACTTGTTGTACAGCTCTAGCATGTACTCTGGTGGGTCCACCTTGGCCGTTTCGTGCAGGGGAATGTCAGAGAGGTTCAATGTCTTCAGGAACTCATTTTTCATATTCTGAAGCAGTGTGTTGAAATCAACACCATCCTGCTCGGAGAGGACCTCGTCGAAAAGTGGCACGTCTTCCTCCAAGGAAGAGTGCTCCAAGCTCAGGATGGGACTGCAAGAGGCAAGGTGAACCAAGAGAGAGAGGAGAGCCCACAGCTGAAGAGCTACAGAATCCATGACTTCGCTCTAGCCTCCAACCACGCTCAACAGGCTTTAGCTCTCATGTGGGCTAAGTGGCGGTTTTATCCCCTGGGTTGTACGCGGCTTGTGTCACAGAGAGATGACAAGTTTGGAAGCTCTTGTCTTGAAACTTGTGATCCGTCCTGTCTCTCTCCCCCTGCCCCCTCCCTTTTTCTTCACCCTTCCCCCTCCCCAAAACCAGGTCTCGGTAATTGGATATGGCTTGCTCTCTTCTATGGTCGCCTTGCCTCTCTTATCTCGTGGAGTGTAAGCTGTTCACCAGATTCGTCGCTATCTCGCAATCCCCTTTCCCTTAATGAGCATTTTGTAAACATTCTGCGCTAGGACACTAGGAGATAGGACAAGTTTCTCCTCGGAGAGGAATTGCCCTTTCTTTCTGCCTCCTGGTAGCCGACTTTCTCTGGCACGTATGACCAACTTTTTGCCGCGCAGATTTCAAGCTAGTGCGTAAATTCTACAGAGCCTCTATCCAAACCTATGAATTCTGCACCAAGAGCAAGGAAGAGCCCCTTTAAAACAACAGAACCGCCCATTGTAAAACTATTGTAGAGCTCAATCTTTATATTTTACTTACAAAGAAACTTCATTGGGATAAAGTCCGTTCTTCTGTGCTCGTACAGCATCTAGCACACGAGAAGAGCTCCAGGCACTGCCACAATGTTGGGGTCACAAGGCCCTGAATGCAGAGGAGCAGATAAGCTCAATATATTTGGGTGAGGAGGATCTCCCACATTGCAACTATGAAACTGTGCTTTGCGAGGGCTCCACTGGAAAAAGCCTTTTGAACAGAAAGTGAGCACAAGTCAGGGAAGAGCAGAACACGGCTTTTAAAGTTTGGCTTCGATTCCTTCTGTGCAGACACCGCTCACCTGCACTGGCACCACAGAATTTAGTGGTAAAGTGCAAGTAATAAGTACTTTTTGCTGAGTTTATTTTTGCTACAGAGTCCTCTTTCCTGATCTGAACATTAACACTAGCTGTCTGAGCTGAATAGGCTCAGTGCTGTAGGCCATATAAATGCTCAGAAACAGAGGGAGGACTGCAATATTTGCAAATGGTTCCTAAAATCTTTATTTTCTTCTGTACCTTATTTATCTGATTTGGCAGGTTACACTTACTCGTCATTTAATCACAGCACCCCCCAGTCAGATTGTCTAAAAATGACTGACAATACACACAGGCCCACAGACTACTCTTCATTCACAACTCACCTTTGCATCACTTAAAATGGCTCAGAGGTATTAGGTGGGTAATGAGGGAACGTTTTTGCAAAAAAGACATGCTAAAACTGTTTAGTAGCACTTTGCTGTTAGAACATGCAAATTTCAACAAAATGTGAGCCTCATACAAGCAAAGAATCTCTTTTCATTAGCACTGCTGAGTTTCTCTCTGCAAGCACTACAGAGCTTAACTCAAAGAGGAAACCTCCACAGATCTGCTGAGTTTTCTGGACTCTGCTTCTCCATTATGGCTAAGCACGTCCGGCCATTTGTTAGCACAACTCTATAACTTTCTGGATTTTTTTTTTTCACAAATGTTAACATACATGTCTGTGAAAATAATGAGTAGTATTAATGCCACAGAGCCAGGCATCAGCCAGTTTAAAAGCCAGCTTTTAAAACTTGTTTCATTCAACAACTCTTCTTCTGCTAAATAGGGAGAACTTGACAATAAAAGCTAAACTCATTATCAAGGTCTCTGCTATTGCTACAGTACATTGGAAGTGGTATTTGCGCTTAGAAAGACTAATTTAGATCTCAGTGTGGATTTCACAGTTACCTGTGCAAGCTTATCTATAAATCCTCTGCAGCCTTATCAAAGACTCATCCTATGACTCCTGTGGCTTTCCAGAGCTAAGCACAGAAAAACTTAGGGAAATTTTGGAGCTGAATTCAGGTCACTTTTATTCATTAACTTAGAAAAGCACAATCTTCTTTTTGTCGGTGATTCATCACCTCACTACGCTTAACTAAGGACCTTCCATAGGGAAATGAGACTAACCTTGAGAATGGGGAGAAAAGACTGCAGGGTGCATAGCCTTAACTCTTCCGCAACACAATAACTGGCTCCTCTAAAGCAAGGTCTTTGGCCTGGCTTTGGGCAGGTAGTAGATTTGCAGTAAGAGCATAGTCCCTACAGAAATGGTTTCAAAAGGTCATTTGTATGCTTGAATATTTATTTCAGAAATGCACTGACTTCATATATAAAAGCCCATATTTTTAAAATTAAGGAGGTAAGCACCTTGTAAGAGCTACTGCCTGTTGGAAGGCAACCGGTGCTGAAACTTCTCAGCGCTTCACAGCCTTATCCTTAGCGCTTGCTTGTAGCTGTTTCTTCTTCTCAAATGGGAATAAGGGCCCGAATGCATAGGCAGCAGGCATGTAAATATGCCTTGCAGAGCTTGTAAACACTGGGATGTAGAGTACTGCATGGCTTCCTTCTGAGGGTTTTGGGTTTGCTACGAGATTTAGAGGTAAAGGTTTTGATTTTAAAGTTTTAGAGTGTTTGCTCTGAGATTTTTAGTTGAATCTCCTCTCTCACTACGAGCGCACTGGCTATTTTGAGGACTGCATCTGGCCCTTAATCACACATTGAGTCAGATTCTCCTCTTTGTTACTCTGGTGTTAAACATATAAACAATTTTAGAGTCAGAGGAGTTTTTCCAGGTTCACTCCTGTTTAACATAGATTAAAATTTAATCAGCTGCGCAACTTCAGCTTGCTGGGTGACAAAACTGAACGGCTTTACTTTAACTGCCGTGACATAAGCAGAGCTGACGCTGCCTTGGAGCAGAGGCCGGACTAGTGACCTCTCTAAGTTCTGCTAACTCCAGACGTATTTTCTACGATTCTGTAATTTCACACCCTGCAGACATAAATACATAAGTAAAAACTGCACACAGTGATCTGACATAAATTTTCTAATCCACAAATATGTCATCTTGATTCAGTGGCTCAGTAGGAACTCAATTACTGCTCAGACATTCCAGCTCTTTGCATTTCCACTCTTGTTTTGATAACTCCATGAACAATAGCATACTAAAGGGCAATGCAGCCTGCTGTGTTACATACAAACCAGCTTTTGCTGCATTTCTTAGCTTATTCAGTTTAGAGCCTGCTGGGGATTTGCCAGATGAGCAGTACCCATAGAGTATATCTGATATAAAAGCAGCTTCCTGTTTCCTTAGGTTGTAGGCTGATGAATTTAACACATGCATATTTTTTGCTGAATTAAAATGTTTTAACAGAAGGGTTTTATTTCATGTCACTGAAATGAAGAGGTTTGGCCTTTCCCTGGAAAGGAAACTGCCCTCAAGAAATCTATGCTAAACAGATTAACTGAGCCAGCTGGAGAAGGAACATTAATAATCATTACCGTTTAATTGTTATCAGATTTATAACATAAATGATGAGCCCATTTCATTAGAAATAAATGATGTATCAAGCAGGCAGAGTTGTAGAAAGGGCTCTTGGCCATCATTCCTATGAAGTTTGTGTTTATTTCTGCTGTGAATTTGCAGTTTTACACAGGAAAACGTAGCTAATGAGAATCTGAGCTTCTGCAGTGCTCCTGCAACATTCAGCACACATACAACATTGTTTAATTCCTGTTTTGCCTTTCCTGTTGAAGTCGGAAAATGTTCTTCTGGTGGAGGTGGCCTTATAGGTTGGACACTCTCCATTTGTATGTCCCAGTGAGAACTGGAGGGATAAAAAACGCCCAGAGAGCAAAGAGAGGCCCTTTCCCATCCACGGCACTGAGCAGATCAGGCAGGAACGTGAGTGCAGTTGATGCCAGCGGTAGCCGAGGGTACGAAGCAACTCCAGGGAACAGTTCAGCTGTCGAAAGGGTCAGCCCCAAAGGTTGTGCTGCTCCAAAATAGCCTCTAATCTCAGGCACCCCACAACTTCCTCTGAGCCGATGCCTTCGCGGCTTCTTCCGTCAAGAGGCAGCAGAAGAGCATGGGTTTGAGCCGGAATGTGTGAAGCAAGCCCAGTGCTGAAAGGCTAGAAAGTGAAACAGGGCTTTACGAAGTGTCAAGGTCGACAATATACAATGATTGAAAGGGTGTGACGCTCCCCTGAGTAAGAGGAAGTGGGGAAAAAGAATGTGAAGTGTTTTTTAAGCATCCTCACCCTTCTCTAGTCTGATTTTTTCAGGGAGGAACACCTGTTCTCATTAACACACTCAGAACAGATTGGGACAAGAAACCTTCTCCAGGAGAGTGACTAATGTTTGCTTGTCCTGGACTTTTTGGACATAAACAGTTCCTCAGTGAAGAAAATGAAAGTTTGCTAGTTAGGTATAAGAAGTCCACGTGTAGTTTCTCCACATGTGAATTCAGTCAGATGGATTTTGGCTCAGTAGTCCATACCTTCAGAAAATATAATAACATTTTAAAATTAGATTGGTATTAAATATTAGGCTTTTTAATGTTTCTTTTACCCCTTCAAAAATTTGTAAGATATGTTTAAGAGATATTTGATGAAAAGATAATATTTGAAAAAATAAATATTTGCAGAGGAGAGGAATATAAAAATGTTGCCTGCCCTGCTTAAACATGAGTAGAAATATCCTTCCCAGTTAAAGCTGTGGCTGGGATGTAGAGGTGAGGGCATTCGTGTCAAATTTCTCATGGAAAGGATTTGCATCCAGTATGGGCTTTTTGAGATTTTTCTTACAGATCTTCAAACTGCAACTCCAAATCCCCTTATTTAGTGCAGGAGAGACAGGATACCAAACAAACACTGGATATTTCCAGTATGCTTTGATCTCAAAGAGCACTACAGTTCTCATTCAAACTTCATGCTTATTTGTCAGCAACAGTTAGATGTATGTTTGTGCAATATGTAGAAAACAAATCCTGTCCCCTAAGAACTTACACTGTATATAAAGAGGAGAGACACAGGACAGTAAAGGGAAACATCCCTGTTTCATAGAACAAGCAAATTTATCAACTGACTTGTCTTAAGGTCACACAGGATATCGACAGCAGAGCCAGTGACTGTGCCGAGATTTCTGGAATTCAACATATAATGTCCTGCTTTTGCCACAAGAAAACATCCCCTTCCATCCTGGCTCTGCAAGTGATTTTCCTTATAGCACAAGTGAACCTTTGTTTCTTTGCTAAAACCTTTGAGAAAAACCTAATGTCAAGCTTGAGAATCTTTCCAGTATAACGCAGAGAGCTGTCACTCTTGGCCAACATGACTGCTTTTGCCCATAAGTAAGATAGGATTAATGAAGGAAAAAAGTGTTTGCTTTCATAGGAAAAGGGGAATGTGCTGTGCTTTGTGAGTCAGGACACGTATTATATCGAAAGGGGCCTTGGTGATGTTACTCAGCCCTTAAAAACTCAGAAATAAATCTAACAAACATACAGTGTTAACAGGTATTGCTGTAAGATGCACCTCTATCACAGCATTTTGATCAAACCTCAACGTCCAAACTGAACTGATAGGAAGGCATCTTGTCCAAACGTGTTTTAAATTCAGACTGGGCAAATTTTAAATCCTTTCCAAAAGCTGAGGCTGCATAAATACAGAGATTTTGGTTCAAAGCTGCTCTCTAATGAGGATGACACAGATGCCGTTTCAAAGAAGTAAAGAGAGTGACGTAAACTAATGCGTTTCAGTGACCATCACAGCATATGAGTTGAAGTTTTCCAAAATACTGGCAAGAAATTATTGCGAAAATGCCCCACAACGGTCTCTGTCAGAAGATGGCTGTGGCATGAGGTAACTGTTGGATGTGATATGGGAGATAAAGAAGAGTGTGACACTGACAGTGTGATGAGCTTGCAATGGAATAACTAAAATTAGTTTCCATTCCTGCATCTCCCTAAGTCCTTACCGTTGTATGCCTTGGTTCATGGTTGCTCTGGATTTCCTTTCCATAAATGGGCCGTTCCCAGCAGCTCTCTGTTCCAATTTCGGATGTCACTGGAAATTGAAAAGATAGTATTTAAAGAAAGAGTGGGGAGGGAGAAGTGTAGCAATGCATTACAACTGAAGTGACTGAGAAAAAGAAAAGCAGGGAGAAGAAGGAAAGTCACTGTTTAGCCATATGGGCAGGGAACTACTTATGCTGTATAACACGATCTCTTTGTGTCCCTTCAGAGACAACACCGAAATGCGCATCAATAGCTTTATATGGGAAGACAGTGGCATGCTTTATCCATCAGTTATTTCCAGGCAAGTGAAAAAAGAATGAGGGAAGTACTAATGAACAGGGCAGAGAAACCACCTGCGTGGTCATTGGCAATTCCCTTTCTTCTACCTGTTTTTTTCCTGCTGAGGTGGCAAAGTCTTTAGGATGGGAGTGAATAACTGCACATTTGCGCTAGTGCAACAGAGACCTGGTCTCAGCTGCAGGTCATTGGCCATGCTGCAGTACAGATAAAGAACGACAAACAGAGATCTTCAAGTCGGCACAAAGCCTAAGCAACTGAAACAGAAAGCACAGGGCTGGCAATAGATGGACATTGCCTTCCTGGAAGTGTCCTGTCAGTCACACGCAGCAAATTCACTGCAAACGCATGGCCTCATTGTTACCGCAAGTCCCAGCTCCCTGTGGGCTCATTCTCTGGAAAGTTATTTGGAAGAGCTGTCGTTTCCTAGTCTGATGGGTTTTCCTTATATTTATTAGGAAATTTGTGCTATTAGCTGCTTGAGTACACACATCACTCTCATCGTGAAAGAACGACATGCAGACAAATTCTTTGATCCTTATATGAGAAAGACAAAGCAGGCCCTTGCTATTGCATCTGCTTCTGTAAATTCTAGCATTCAGTCTTTCTTTTTCCCTCCTAGTCCTCAAAATGCAACACAGGCTAAAAAAACGCTTACGTTTAGCAAAAGCATTTTCAGGAGCATTAGGCTAAATATTTGCACGTCTTTTATTTGATGGGGGCTGTCTTAAGAAACCTATTGATTTGCCTGCAACCCTACTATATGGGTATATGCCTCCATGCACAAATAGAGATCTTTACTAATACACAAAGGTTATTTAAAATTTAGTACCTGTAAAGGTCACAAAATTCACTAATTCAGTCTACCACGGTGGGACATGGTAAAAAATAAACCAATATTTGGGATCTTCACATAGAAAGTGATTGTACTGTAACGCTAACGAACAGCAGAGTAGGCATGCTGTCATGCTGTTTAATAATACCAGGAGTTTTAACTCGGCCAGCTTTTTATCATACTTGCTTCACAGCACAGTTTAAGAGAAAAAGGTCAAGAGAAAGTTTTAATTCTACATTTTGAAATTCCTTCTCTCATCATCTAGCTATTTTATGTAGCTTTGGTATTCATTCGGGTGTTAAACTTCGGGCAAGTCACTGAACAGCTTCAGTGACACTGACAAAAGCAAGACTCGTGAACAAAACTTTTCAGAAATCTCCAAAATTGTTCCTCTGTCTTTGTCAGCTGTGTCCAAGTGGGCTGTTTGAGGAATACCATTCTCTTCCTTAATGAGAATTCCATTTAAATACTCCCAAAGCCCTAAAAGGACAAAGTTCTTGGGAACAATTACTAAATGTATCCTGCCCTTGGTTTTTAGAACTATGGATTTTTAATCATAAACAACTGGTTGGAAGAAAACAGGCTCTGTTTACCAGAAATTATTTTGTTGACAACTTTGATTAATAACTTGAAATTATTGGACTAATTTAATACTTAAGCAGAGCTGGAGCGTTTTACGTCAAAAATAGGCAATTTCTCCACGTGAGACAGTAATTACAAATCCAACAGCTCATAATCACTTCAACAGAACACGAAGAAGAAAAATTAGGCAAGCATGTCTAATATTTATCCTGGTTATTTGATGTTAGGGTTGAGATCACATGAGGAAAGTAAATTGTGTGTAACGGTAAGAGAGATTGATTCAGTAAAAAAATCCTGTTTAAATAGAACCTTTAAAACCAAAGAATTGAAATGTATTACATCTGAGTTTCTGTAACTTGTTTGCAATTATACTGGATAAATAAGGACTGTTAGCAGCTGTTCTTAGTTATGTTTATCACACAGGTTAATATCAGATTTTGTCTTTTCTACCCTTTGTGAGGAGACTGCATAGAAGTTTTGATTAATTCTGGCTTACACCACAGGAAAAAATTCTAAACATGGTCTGGTCCTCCTAGACTATGTGGTCTTGTGCCCTTTATGAGTCCTGGTCATCAGTAAATGAATGCGGAAATTCACTTTTGTGTGCTTATTATTTCCAGTGCAGAAGAAATGGGTTAGTGGTTATATTCCAAATAGGGAACAAAGCAATATTCTACTTGTCTAATAAAATTACACTAGAACTTGCTGAAAAGTTTGCAACACCCTTCCCCCCTACTTTTTAAAAAAGCCTCTCCAATGTTTAAATTACAGTTTTTCATTGTCAAAACCATTGGAGAGAGAGGGGAACTATTTTAGAGATGTTCATTATTTTTTGGTGAAAGTTCAAAAAATTCAGAGAAACATATTAATAAAAATAATTTTTGCCATTTAGTTTACTTCTCCAAAGGGGAAAAAACTTATGCCCAGCTCAATTTTAATTGCATGGGATTGGCTTGTCTGCTTCTGATTTTAAAGTCTGGCTTCAGCAGCTTTATTTGTTAGGGTGCTCAGAATACATATGTATTAGTTAGCATTATTAAGGAATTTGATCAAGTGCTATTAATACCTCAGTTCATGAGGCAACTGCTGAATTCTCCTCACCTGCCTGTATGAAAAACCTTAAAGATACCCAAGAGCAAGATCAAACTGAACAGCTAATTGGACTCCAAATTTGAATAACATACCAAAAAAGTGACTGCAACTTAAGAGCTTTTTAAAAAACACAACGTGCATGGAAAATGAGAGTCCCTAGGTAATAAGTCTAGGTAAAATATCTTTACAGCCAAGAAACTTCCCTCATTGACACTCAACAGGCTGTCTTCTGATTAGCCATCACATCAGTTCGAGACGATTTTTGTGGCAGTGTATGCAGATAAAGACCTCTCTCTCTTTCTCTCTCTCTCTTTTTCTCTCAGGTACGTTTGTGTTGTGTTAACACTTGTGAGGTTCAGGAGCTTCAAAATACATTCTAGTCAGAGAATTTTTAATGACCCTCCCACTTTTTAGAATTTGGTACTGCAATTTCTATCATTATTCATGTTGTATTGTAGTTATCTACCTCACAGCTGTTTAACACCTATGAGCTATTCGTAAATGGTCCTGTATCTGAAGGATCCCACACCTCTGGTCGTTCCTCTAATTAGCAAGACCACCATATGTAAGTAGCTTGGGGGACTCTGTAACGTGCTTTAAATCATGCTGCACATCTCCCAGTTTTTCTCAGAGTGGCTTGGCAGATAGGAGTGTCTCGTGAAGCGCGGATGGCAGCTTATCTCATTGAGAGCATGGAACAAGCTCCTCGCAGTCCCTGGTGTTAAAGGGCTCGACTTATCTGGGACGAGTGGCGGAGTGCCCTGGCTCAGCTCTCAGTATATTGCACCCAGGGACTTTGCTTAATGTGTTGCTGTCAAACACCTCCCAACATGCTTGGGGCAAATTTCTGAATCAAGGAGCTTTAGGCGAAAATGGCCCCTGTCTCCTGTCACAGGGGATGGAAATGGTTATTGGCTACCCCTATGGGCTCAAGCCTTGAAGTCCTTTTGTCTCAAGTTTAACACATTTTTAAATGCCTGACAAGGGTGCCTCAGCCCTATGTGACCATCTGTATAATGGTGTCAGTGCAGCAGGAGAACAGGGAAACTCCTCTGCAGCTGGAATGGCGACTGCCACGGTACTGGGTGGGTGTATGGACTCTGCATCCTACCTGGGAACTGCTGGGCAGGATTTACTGCCTGCAAAAAGATAAAGGCCTTAACTACCTTTACAGTCCAGGCTGTCCTAGAAGCTGCCTAAACTACAAGAACCTCCTCAAAATAATTCGTTGTATTGCTTCACCCATCTTTCCTCCTTTATATCCTCACAACAGCTCTCATCCTAGCACCAGTGATTACAAAATGAATTTTAAAGAATGCTTTTTTCAATCTGAGCACAGCCACAGTAGGGTCTACTTTATGCTACATCTGCCTTTCCATCTGTCAAGAAATGGCTGGAGCAACTTGGAGACCCAACTCTTCGGGTCTGAATCACCTTCCTTTCTGTATAAGCACCCTTGGAAAAACTAAATGAAACAGGAACTGCAGAGACACATGAGGCTGGCTGCCTCCTACAAAGCTGAAAGAAAGAGCAAAGGAAAAACATCGCAGAACAGGAAGAGATAGGTACTAAAGCCAGCAGAGGATGTGGCCATGACAAGTCCTAAGGATAGAAGGACTCGCCTGCAAGGGACAAAGACCCGGCTACAATCCGTACAAAACCCCAGCCAGCCCCCCTGCCTCAAACAACTGACCTAGAGAGCAGAACTCCTCTGTGGGCTATTTATTCCTAAGGGAGGAGTGTGGCTGAGCAAAATTGGGCAGGGGCAGAGACAGTTGGCAAGATGAGATTGGTTAGGTGTCATCGAACTAATAAACAAGAGTGTTGGGTCTTCCTTTCTTACCTGTGCTCGCAATCGGTGTGTGACTCATGTTTGTCAGATTTAGTTTTCATCCTTTGCTGCCTCCCTTTTCTGAAACAGAAATGATTTCACTCATTTACGTTAGATCACCTTGTGAATCTTCACTGTATACATTTCTAGAACATTTTGAAATCTCTGATTAATACACAGTATGCAAATGCACTGCTTTTTTACATAAAGTAGGAGTATGTATATGTGTATATATATATTATGGTGAAGAAGTTGCAAATATTAAGGGATTGAGAGAGCTTCAGCTAGTGAAAATAAACATCTCAGAGATATGGAAATCTGAAAGAAAGAATTCTAATCCTCTTCATCCTGACCCAGCTTTTACTTCCTGAGCAACAGGTCTCCGGTTGACAGGGATTCATTTTATTTTATTTCTGAGTTATGGTTTGCACCTAATCAGTGTTTTTACTAGCCCAATGACAGCAAGATATCACTCCTTAAAAATAAGCTTGGACTCAGAACTGCAATTAAAAAGCAATTGTTGAGATTATCGTTAACAATTTGCCATCTAGTGGTCAATCGAAATTAAACTGAGTTCTTAGCTCAAGTAGAAAGTACATACATACCTTCAGGATTGAATTCTGTGCCTCGGAAAATCTGATGTGCTCTTTGGCCAAGATGGTCACTTTTTTTTAAAACAAATAACCTTGTAAAACCCAGCTCACCCTCTTCTACGGCCAACAGTTTCAAATCCGAGTACCTAAAACTAGGCACCTTGATTCAAACTGAGCACGTACTTTCCCTTTGCTGACATGTTGCCTCTTTCTTTCTTGCACATGGATCTTGCAATATTCTTCTGTTTGACTGCCGCAATTTGCTCCCAAGTTGTTTTAGAGACACACTCAAGAGGTGAGTTCTCTTCCTCTAAAACTTAAGGGATGATTTTTTCAGCTACTATCCACTGTAAGTACAAACAGGGTGGAAAGACCTAACAAATGAGGACATTCAGGTTCACAGCTTTGGCTTGCTGGCTCCAGACCGCACAATTTTTGTTTCAAATAATGGGCTTGACTCTGCAGCCTGTTTGACTCCAGTTTTCTCTGGAAATTCTGTCCTATTAGGGAAAATTTGCTTATTTTAATAGCTGTCCTTTTTCATTACTTGATGCAATTTTGAAAACTTTTTTCAAATATCAGACAAGATAGGTCCAAATCTGCCATTCCTCCTAATTTAAGTAGTCTCTTTCCATTTAAATAGTATTTAAATGAAAATAAACCTCACCCCTTACTGGGAAATCGTTTCAGGGCTAATCTCTGATTTTAAAATGAAAACAATCAGCAAAAGTGACACAACTGAGGACTGGATGAATAGTCTTGTACACTGGGAAATGTTAGGTAGTGGGAGGTTCTAAGGGGAATGGGTTCAATGGTAAAAAGATCTTGGATTAAAGGGTAGTGCAGGCGACTAGATAAACTGGTGTCCTTGGCAGTGAGGGACCATAGATCCTTCCTGCCCACTGATACAAGGATCAAGAAAGGTTAATTGCAGCAGAGGTGAAGATGTGACTGGAATGTGTACTAATTCTGCTCCCCCTAAATGCCTGACATACTTTAGCTGCCTGTCAGTGTGCATCCAATGATACCATTGTTGGGCTCCCAGGCATGCCTTTAATCACCTGTTTTTTTTTTTTTTTTTAAAAGCTGGAAGCACATTATCAGCATTATTCTGATATCTTGACCTAGGATAAATACTATTTTAACTTATAAAAGCTGTTTAAAAAGCATTCTCGAGCACAAAGGCACACACACGCACAGATACTCAGACATATCCAGACACACTCCCATTTGCTCTCTTTCTTCTACATAAAATAAATTCCCTGCTTTTTGTAGAGCAAGACTAGCTGAGAAGCTAGCCGAACTTCAAACACAAGTATGTTACTTTGAAAGAAGCCCTTAGAAAGATCGGGTAACCTTGAAGGTAGTAAGAGTTGCATCTTGATGCTCTTTTCCTTTCTAGACTCCTTCCCTCAACACCTTTTTAGGATCTAAGCTTGTGCACTGGCTCTTTTCTTCATTTTTATAATAGACCCACGTTCCAGTCCTGGTAGGATCACCACAGCCCTGCCCCTCTCCTGGTGCAGATACACCACATGCCTGTGCTATTTCCATGATGTTAATCTCACGCTTAAGGCTAATAAGGCTGGTGCACCATCTACTCCTCATATTAACCTTTCACAGTTGTCCTAATAAGTGTTCTACTTTGTTG